AACACTGAGAGTCAGACTTATTCAGCTAATTGAAAGAACACTAAAAGAAATGCAGTGCAGATAAAGCTAGTGAAATTTGAATTGACACGTGAAACATCTATTTGACTTTTTCAGTCTGGTATTTGTCTGCAGAGCATCAATTTACCCACTAGTTGGATAGATCTGGTGGTCTGCTAGCTTTTATGTTTAATAACTATTTAGAGGGCATCATGGTCCCTGGCCTCGAACATGGCAGCATTTTAAAGTATTTATAAGGAGTATGTTAAGGTAGTACCATGTTTTACATGGGGATACCTGCAATTACTGGTGTACCTGGACATCTTATTTTCATTTTAGAGTTATTTTTATGAATTTATATGCCATGGGGGGAATATAAGGTACATATTGAAACCTTTTGGCACATTCAGATGGCAGATTATATTAGTATCTGCAAGTTCTTCCTAAGATGCAATATATTCAACACAATCTCAAATACGTGCTTAGGAGACACAGGCTTTATGCTGAAATGCAGTTGGTTTTTATCTGTGCTTACTGTCAATACTGGTTCAATTGTTTCCATTGCTAACAATGAACAGTCATTTTTGTGGCAGTAGAAACAAACCTGAAGAAATCTTTGTAAATACTTGATTTTTTTCTGTTTTTCCCTTAACTTATGCAATCAGTTGGAGCAAAAGTATAATTGGTCTGTTGGGAAAGATTGGGGAGGGAGGGGGAAAGGGGGGAATGTGTGTATCTTCCATGCAAAACTGGAGCACAAAATTAACAGCTGTCCATCAAACCTATTCTTTTTGTAGAATTTTCTATAATTCCAGTAAAGAATTGATTCAGAGCATTCTACCGCTTTTAGGAGAGATCATTTAGGTACTTACATGTGTTGTCTTGTTGCTGTCTAAGGTAGTTTCTCAGTTCTAATAAAACTTGAATTTTTGAATACTTGCTGGTTTAAAAAAGAATTAAAGTTTATTCACAGCTCCTTTTTTTTTTTTAATATGTAGTTTATGTTACTGCGTATGTAATTGCTTCTTCCAAAAAATGTAAAGCATCATGCTAGGTCTCTGTCACATCCGTAATGCTGTCCCAAAACATTCCCTGCAAATGATCTTTCTAACAAATTGAGGTTGCTTGTGACAGTTTCTTTTTTGGTGTTTTCTGAGAGTCTTGATTCATTTTGAATGTGTAAACTCAACTTCTGGAGTAAGAACATTTTCCAGCTGACCTGGTTTGTTAATAGTACAGAAGGTTTTGGCTTTCTTTTTAGCAAAGCGTTAGGTACTTTACAGCTCATAATCAGAGAATGTGAGACTGAAAATCTCATTGCTCTTTTGTCTCTATATTTTGTCTGCATGAGTGTATGCTGTGTTCCTCCTAAATAAGAAATAAAATAGCTTTGTCAGCTGAGGACTTTTTCTGGCTTTTATAATCAGGTGTTTAAAAGAATTGTCAGACTTTTCATTCTCTTGCTAAATGGAACAATTTGTCGTCTTCAAGGGATGAATCATTTTTCTTTTTCAATGTTAATCATTCTTGCTGTGTTATAAAAGTCTTTAAGTATTTTAAAGATAGCTGCTATGGTAGTGTTTAAGCAGTAAATATCCCCTCACTGCATCTTATCAGTAAGATTTGGTATTAGCTGGTATTTTCTTCTGAAGTGTTATGTGTTCCATTTGTATTAATCATAAAAAATCTAATGTTATAAGCAGAAGGTGTAGTTGGTACATCAGTATCTGTCTTGGTCTGAACCAGATTGAAAGTTTCCTCTGTTCGTTAAACTTTTTTATTTAGTTAAAGTTAGTGATGTGTCTAGATAGATAGTTGCTGTTTAAATATTAATGTGCTTTTTTTACTTATTAATCCGTTCAAGTGAAGGGCTTAAATCTCGCTGCCTCAATGAAAACATAGTTTGTTTTCCATTTCTTTTGAGAATTCTGGAAGATGAAGATGGTAATCTTTATATTTTTCAGCACAATTTGCAATTTAATCAATAGTTAGGCAGAAATCCCTATTTTGGGAGCCTTTCTAGTTAAAGTAAGGACCATCCCACATTAATTGTTTTCATATGCAATGATTTTCAAAATTTGCTGTATTTCTGTGATTTACACGTTCATTTTAAACGCCCTTCTACAGAAATGGGGCATGTATGTGTACAGCTAACTTAGTAATTCTAATATTAAATGGCATTCCAGACTTCAAAAGAATAATGTCATCTTTGTGCAGAATAATGTCATCTTTGTGCAGAATGAAAGAAAAAAAGACATGGCAATAACTAGACTGCTAGTCTGTCAAAACTGTTCACACAAAGTAGATTTTAAAAGACTATAAAAGTTCAGTTTGAGAGAGACATCTGTAACACTGAATGTCTATCAACCTAACTTTGTCCTTTGAAAACTTTAACATATTTTGTAGTGAGAATGTAGTTTTAAACATACGACTTTCTGGAAAAGCGTTGCTTTTGGAATGAAGGAATGTAATTTTAAATGTAAGACTTGCTGGAAAGGCGTTGTTAGAGCTGTAGATCTGTGCTGCCATTTGACTCTCAATTGCTGGCCATGTTGGCTACAGTGAGTATCTTGTAACAAAGTTATACAGGCATGGTGTTCCTGCCATCCCGTCCCAAACTGTAATACTTAAACACTTGAGACTTTCTGTGTATTCTGTACACACCAAAAAATCCCTACCCTGTGTACTTTCTGCACTTTTACCAGGTTCACTGTTGGCTTATCTCTAGCTGTCTTTTCAGTCTCCTTGACCCTGGATTGCATTCCATGATTCTTATTTTTCACACATATGACAACTTCTGGTCATGGAAAAAGCATTTTTGGACTAATGTAATTTGATTTGACACAGCAATTCCTAAAGTTTCTACCTGGAACTGTCATCTGTGTTTAGATGCACTAAGTGGTATGTGGTTCCTTTTTTATTATGGTTTCTTTACAGCTTTCACAATGAAAGAGCTGGGCATTAGACAGCAATGTTTCAGGTAGTAAAAATGTATCAAGACAAGGGCCAATGGAAAAACAGCTTAAATTGTAGATCTAAGAAGCTTGCAAGTTACTTTTCATTTTGTATAGAAGTCATTCCATCCAAGGATAGTACAGCCTGGATTTTTAAATCCAGTTTTAAAGCTTGAGTTGTAAAAGTCTGAAACAATTACATATTTAAAGAAGTTGTTTTTCACAAGTATACTTTGTAACAAAATGTCCTTGCTTTCCCTTACGCTGGCAAGTCTCCTCAAAATTATTATTTTAGGATATTTTTAAGTACTTCTTACCTTTTTTTCATTATTATTATTCCTTCCATATCATTTCTCTTTTGCAACAATACAGATTGGCAGAATCCTCAGTGGAAAGTAGCACAAAATAAGGAAGAAAAATTATTTGCTACTACCCTCAAACAGGAATAACTGAGTGAGGCTTGTAGAAAGGTAATAAATCCCCCAAATCCATCTGTTTAGCAGAGGACTGAAGACAAATGCCACATACTCTATCTTTCTGAAGTCAATAGGAGCGTGATGGGAGTCACCTATGTCCTTGATGAAATTGCCTTATGGAGCATCTTCATCATCTTGGGTCATACGCCTTTTCTCTCTCTATTAGGACATCAGAAAAAGAAATGGAATAGGTCTTTGACTGTTCCCAAACTTCTATATTTTCTATTTCCTCTTGCTCCTTGCTTGCAAGCTCTACCTTGAGTTCCCTTTCTCTGAAAAAGGTATTTCATTTACTTCTGCTATATTTCCAGTAGAGTACTGGCAAGGTGTAGATCTCTTGCATTTAGTTTGATAAACAGAGGTCAGCTTTGACTTTTCTTCCGTGCATATCAAGGTAAACAAAGAAATTAGAGGTGCATTTATGAAGGACCAGATATAAGTTACTTTCTTACAGCTTTCTTCTAGCTTTTGGCATTATCAGTGTAAAAGCACTGGATAAGCAGTGTAAAATCTTTTGGTCTATGTTCATATACAAAGTTTCTTCTTGATAAAGCAGGTGTGGCATTAGTGAGAACAGAGAGTAGTTGTGAAGCATATTTTAACTTATGCTGAGATAAGCTGCTTTTAGGAAAAACTCTTAAATATCAGTAGAGAAATACTCACAAGTAGCTTCTTTCCATGTCCTCTGCCATTCACAAAAATAGAGAGACTGTGGGATCTTCACCTATGTTTTCTCATGTTTTTATCTCTTTCTGATAGCTGAATGAAGACTCAAAGAGAATATAACCTTTTGAAGCTCAGCAGGGTAGCTCATGAGTATGATTTGCTTTTAATGATGGCTTCAGCAGTTCCAGACCTGTCAGAGCAAATTAGCATGTTCTTAGAGGAGTATCAAATCCCATGCTAACTTTTCAGAAGCAAAGGCCAAACAATTATTTGGTGAAATGTGTAAAATTTTGATAGATTTGCCTTTATTAATTAGCACTAGCAGACAATCTGGTTAGAATGGGGTTCTGTACATTTTGTTCCATTTATACTGTATTATTTAGGAATACACTTCTTTAAAGTTATATATCTATCAAGGAATACCTGTAAATATAAGAATACTTATTAGCTAAAGATTTTAATATGCCTTGCCCAAGTGATTCTATATGTTATAATAGTATAAAAGATGTATAGTATAAAGTATATGTTGTTATATGTTACAATAGTATAAAATATCTATCCATTTAATTTCATAAGACAACACTTTTTTCATAGTACAGTTTCTTGTTTACAGCTGTTCATGTTGTTATAATAAAGTGCAAACACTTTCAAATGTGACTGTATCATGTATGTGAGTATATGTATATCTAAAGTTAAACATAGACTAAATATAATTTTGATAGAATGTTCCTAGAGCTGTTACAGAAACTGCATTGAAGACATCGGGGTTTAATCTGAATTTTCAAGGAGAAGGTCAAGGAAAGTTGAAGCATATTCTTAATGATTATTTAAGAGCAATGCAATAATTATGAAAGATTGATATAGAATAGTCTGTTAGCGGATATCCTGACTTTCCACTCTTTGGCAGGTGGATGACATCTTAGGAGAAGGCAGTGATGAAAGTGATAGTGAAAAAAAAAAGCCAGAAGAGGAAGGTGAAAAACCTCAGATTAGTGCAACAGAGACTTTAGGAATGAAAACAGGTCAGAGACCTGGATCATCATCGTCGTCATCATCATCGTCAAGTGAAAGAAGCTTAACAGGCAGTGTACCCAGGTATGAGTTTTTCAAATGTAAAAAGAAGCGTTAATGATATTTCATTGGGTTTATGCACTATTCAGCATGCTTTTTGGCAATGCAGTATTTATGTTGTTATTAACCTCTGTATGTAGGTAACTTTTTTTTGTAACTCTGTGAAATTGTCATGCTTACCTCTGCAATGTTTTGGGATTGATTTAAGAAAATGGTCATAATAAATGTCTGTTGAGAACCAGGATATCACCTGTTTTGAAGGAACTGAAGACCACTGAACTGCATTTATTTTAAAGTAGTCTTGATCCTGAATCAGATGTAGGACAATGTCCTCTGCAGTATTACTTTAAGTAAAATAAAGCATGGTTTTGGAAAGCTATGGTTTTTTCATCCTGAATTTTTGAGATATTTTTATATAGGAAATTCATAAAAATGAGGTTGTTGAGCTCGTTTTCTGCTTTAGTCTCTTAGAGAAATTTAAACTTGCTAGTCTCTTCTGCAAAAATGATTTTAATGTCCCACCATTGACTGTTGAATGATGACTATCAACCAATTCGCTAGTAAACTAGAACTTGATAAACTAAGTGCATATTTTAAATATGTTAAGGAATGGTTCTCAATCTGCAGCCCCTTAATAGTTTTTAAGCCTAACAATATATAAAGAACAATATAAGATTAAGATTATACCAGTTTTAACTTAAAATTGCTGGGATCGTCATCCTGTACCACAAAGTGCTAAAAGTGCAAACATGACTCAGATGTGCTTTGTAGTTTCTTTCTGCTCTCATAACCAGACTCTGTTCTCACTCGTAAGAATTTAAACTCTCATAGTTTCTCCTTAATGGAGGATAACAGAAGTAGTAGGACTTAAGCGACTTATTTACATTATTTTAACTTCTGTGAGCTTTGTTGTAGCGCACAAAGAATGTATGAGAGAAATTGCGAAAACCACCACAGAATGCGATATATAAATATTCATGAGGAGATTTTGATTGGGGTAGCAAGGTTGCTGTGTGCCAGGAGTTTATTGGAGAAAGAGCTACATGGGAAGCCTGCACAGGCCTTTTAGTTTATCGTAGGTATGTCTAATCATTGAGCATCTTCAGAAAAATGTCAGTCTAAAAGGTATAAGAATTTAATCTGTGTCACATAGATAGAAGAAAAATTCCCTTCTAAATGAAGTTTGGAAGAGGAAAGGCAAGCCAGTGATGAATGTTATTAGAATAACATTTGAAGCAGCAAGGCATGGTGGTGGCATGTCACTGTTAATTCATCCTAATACTGTGATGTTTTGTTGTGTAGAAAATGCACCAAATTCTGAAAAACAAAAGGCAAAAAGAGTCATATTAAGGACTATTGCTTAGGGTTATTGCTAAATACTATTCCCCATGTATGGTTTGCAAAGATAGAGCAAGTGTATTTGTAATTAACTTTTGCTCTATATAGGAAGGTTCATAAGTAAGCTTGGCAATACTTCTGCTCTCAGAAGCCAAGTAGAGGTAGTACTGTTGTTGCTAAATAAAGTCTTTGAGGGAGCTTCTTAAGTAACTTTTCTATCTTTGACCTTCCTAGCTCTTAAGAGTCTCCTTGTCAGTTTGTTAAATTGCATCCAGGATTGAACCTGAATGGAATGCTGGAAAACATACTCACAAAGTACTGGTTTAGATGCTGACCCAGTGTCCGCTAGGCAGGAAATTCTGCTTGATAGAAAGGAGCCTCCGCCCATCATTCCAATTCCATTTTAAGTCTGAAGTTTTAAATTGACATTTTCGTGGTCAGTCAGTGTTGTATGTGCTAAAAAGATTCCGTACCAGAGGGGTAATGTAAGAACAGTTGTTAAACAGCAGGATTAAAATCTCCACGACTTTAGTCCACTCCAACACAAATAGTAGCTACAGTTTCTGGGGGCCACATTTCTAAAAGCTAAGTGCTATACAAGCATATAGTCCCAACAAGATTTGAAGTTTCTGTTCTGAAAATTGGAGTCTTTGGGGTGCATAATGAGGCTGAAATTGTATTTAATAATTTTAAATTATTTGTGCTCTGTCATTCAGCCTGAAGTCGTGAGTTAGTTATTACCATGAACACCATCACCTCTTGCCACATTAAGTAAACAGAGGCTTTGTATTCTAAAGGCCAGTCCCAACTATTCATTATGTAAATCCACCCTGGACCAGCTGTTTAAATCATTATTACACAACTTGTTATGATCACCCTGGTGTCCATATTTTAGCTATTAATGTTTCCGGAAAACAAAAGATGAACAAGAGAAAGGCAGTCCAAATATTATACAGTACTCTCATGTTCTGGCTCCGCTCGTTCCTAGCAGAGATGAGGCCTGCAGATACTGTAGGTTCCTGGTAATGCTCCACTGCCCCATTACACCTTTCCAGTAGTTACTGACACTGGAGCCATAGCACTTATAAGATAGAATGTAGCACTTCTGTTTAATGTTAGTCTTCAGCCTTGAAATCTGCAGAATACCTTGGTCATTTCTCTGACCGGTGCCACTTCTAAAATTCTCATGGATGGAGGAAAAAAAAAAATCTTTGAGAAATCTAGTAGCTACTTTTTGAGAGGAGGAGGGGAAATGCAGCATCTTTCCTACATCCATTTACTTTTATGACTTTTGGTAGGTACCATGCAGTTAGGTTGCAATTTGACAGGCTAGAGTTGTTTTAAAATCCTAGCTTCTTATGCAACTTAATAAAATGCTTGCCTTTATCTCACATGTCATGTTAAAAGGGTACTGGATAGACTAAACAATGAATGTGAGTTTCATACTGTGTAAAAAGATGAAATAGAAATTAGTAAATTAAAAAAAACGTAGTTGTTTATACTATTCACATTTGATCAGCCTCTTGTGATTATGACCTGCATAACAATAAAATACATTTGCAGCTTACTTTGACTTAGAAAATCTAAAGGAGGTAAACAAGTTTTTATTCTTAAATAGTCTTGATCTTTCTGTAGATAATATTTTTCTGAGCTGCTTCTTATCTAATTTTTTAAAACAAAAGAATTGCTGTTTAGAGCTCTGATCCAGCTTTTGTTGAAGCAAAGAGGTTAGGAGCTAGACTTCAGCCCCCTCACAGTTCTACTAAAATTTTCTACTTAGAATGAAATTCCACTTAATGTAATTGAAACATGTCACACATGAAACTTACTGCTGTAAGTTATGAATAAGGAGTTATAAATCATGAAAGTTCACAGGTGTTTTTTAATGTGTTAGTCATGATTAAGGATACATAATACGAAAAAGCTTTTGATATTAGTATAAATAGAATTTGTTCGTAAGAGAAAACTGAATGTTTAGCTTCCATAGCACAGTATATACCTAGCCAACAAGAGGTGTCTGATTAGTTGAGATACTTCAAGCTTTAAGCTGTCAGTGCACAGTTCACTTTATTTTTCAAGTGCATTTTGATTTCACTCTACTGTCGCCACTGAGACTTGAGTGATAGTGAACACGTTTGCAGTTCTCTATTTCCCTGTATCATCTTAAACTTGCATATTGTGAAGTAATTGCTATAATAATATGCATTGAACAAATATATTCCATGTTAGTATGCTTTAATACTGGTCTTTGTAGGAAGATAAAAAAATCAGGTAAAAGGCTGTGACAGTCTCAAAAGAATATATTTGCTAGAAGGATGGACAGGCACATGAAACAAATAATGCTGTTGAGAAAATTGGCCGAGCAATATGTCAAAGGTTGGGGTTTAGCCTCTTTCAGTTTGGAGATCCTGGAAATTTCTAGTGGAGATGTGAAGCCCTGTACAGCAAATATAAGTGTGCTATGTGTCTATTGACTTGCCTATTCTCTGATACATAGCAGACTTTGAAAATAGTTAATGAAATGCTTCGGTTGTATTACTAAAGCTAGGAAGTTGGTTGCACTTCACTTAATAAATTGAAATGTTAAAGGAATTGAGGCAAGAAAACAGGAATTTGAGATGTTCCGCCTCTATTGCTGTCTTCCAGTTGCATGCCATATATCTATGGCATGTGGTCTTCTATAATACACCTAAAATTTCTCTTAAGATATTGAAAGTATTTAGTGGTGAGTGGGAGTTAGCAGAAAAAAAAAACCACACATAATACTAATTTAGTTTCCAAGTACTTATATTCATGTGAGATGCTGAACTGATAGTCCAGAAGAATCCTTCCCTTTCTGTGTTCATATGTTCTAGTGCAGGGTTTGCAGTCAGGTTCTAATTCTTGAGGGAAAGGACATGATGGGAACCTTCAGATTTTCAAAGGATAGCTTGTGGTGCAAACACCCTGGTACACAGTATCTCTTTACGTGCCTCACTTGTGCCTGAGGAATTACGGTCCAAGCAGAGAGTACTTTAAACAATGGGAAATGAGCCCAGCAGTGGCACTGAAGTAAAAAATAGTGCAGTTCATTTACCTATGCCGTAATATTGGTTTTCATAGAATCAATACGTTGTACTTTTTAATAAATTTAAAGTAGGAAACTGAACTGTTGTAGCAGTATTCTATTTGCTGTTAATAGTCACTATGATATAGCTTGAGGGCTTGTTAAACTGTGGGAAGTCGTGGAGAAGTAAAGCAGCAGTGGGAAAGACTGTTTGGGTACTGGGACTGCTGAAAGCTTCCAGGTCTTGCGCGCAAGGCCTCCCAGAAGCACAGGGGGTTGGAGGCAGCTTGCTGGTTTTGCATCCCTCTGCCGCTGAAGCACAGTTCACAGCATGTCCATGGGCTTTTGCAGCTTGGTGTTTGGTAAAGAGCAGTTTTCTGGTGTGAGGAGGTGGGTTGGATTTTTGTTCTGGTTTTTGCACAGGTTGGCCACCAACATGAAAGACCTTCCCCTGAGGGTGAGCGAGAATGAAGGGGGAAGGTTGCAAACATGAAACAGATTGATGCAGTGATACAATGAAATGTTTGAGTGCGTTATTTTAGTCATGAAAGGTTACAGCTAAAAAGTATGGTGGTTATTTGAAGTATGCTCACAAACCACACTACTGCCTGTATCTATTGTTAAGCAGTTAACTTTATTT